TGCTGCGAAGACTCCGCGCGGGCCTGCCCAGGCGCGGCCGCGGGAGCGCGAGGCGCGCGCGGAGGGGAGCGAGGCTCTGGGGGTGCGGAAGGAGGGAAGCCGCCCACGGACGGCGTTCTGGGCATCGAGGGGCGCGCGAGCCAAGGCGGGACGCGGCCGCGCAGGGCACGAGGGGGAAGAGCGGCTGTGGAGGTGCGCGCGGAGGAACATGCGCGCGGCATGGACGGGGGCGCGCGAGCCTCCGGGGACGGCATGGAGGCGGACGCGTGGAGAGTTGAGAGGTGTTTGGGAGGACGGGGTGCAAAGACTGCACGCGGGACTTGGAGGGCCGTGCGAGGGTGGCAGGGCTCGGGTGCGGCACGCAGGGCACCGAAGGGCAATGCGCGCGTTCGGGCACCAAGGGGTGCGAGACAGGAGGGGGCGAGCGCATGCGCTAAGGAGGGCGCCTGGGGCCTGAAGGGGTAGGAGGCAGGAGGGGGCGAGTGCGGTCAGAGGGGCTCGTGAAGCATCGAAGGCTGCGAGGGAGGAGAGGGCGCTTGGATTGGAGTTGGGTACCAGATTTAGCAAATAAAAATACAGGATGCCCGGTTAAACCTGAATTCCAGATAAACAACCAATAATTTTTTAGTAAAAGTATGTCCTAAATAGTGCGTGGACCAAACTTATATTGAAAATGATTAATTATTTTTCTGAAATTCAAATCTAACTGGGCGGCCTGTATTTTATCTGGCAACTCCAGCTGGGGGAAGGCCGTGGAGCCTGGAGGGGAGTGACGAGGAGTGGGCGCACGCGCTACATTGCGAGCGGGCGGTTCACAAGGCAAATGGAGAGAGTGTTGAGAAGCCAGAGAGCTTAGAGTGGAGCGATGCTGAGAAAACGGAGGGAGGACCGGGGCCGGGTGGTCCGGGAGGGGCGGAGGAACTGAGGTGGGGTCGAGCGGGGTGGGGAGCAGCTTAAGACTTGATCGGCGGGCGGAGGCAGAAGGGCCTGATCCAAATGCAGGTGACGCGCCCCCGGTGGTCCCCGTGCCGGCCGGGGCCGCCAGACCAGGGTCTAAGCATTCCCTAGAAATAGATCCCCAGCAGAGCGGTATCCATCGGGCTTTGAAATTAGGGGCTGCTTTTGTTGAGTCGCTGGTGGGGAAGACTCTGTCCTTTCTAAATCCCAGGAGTAAATTTTTCGAACCCACTGGAGACAAAACTCTAAATTCTGTCACCTTGTCAAATGGATATGATCCAACTTTCCTTTGTTAGGAAGGAGAGTGACTGATTGGCCCTCTGTACCCTGAGACATCAGTGGGGTTCCTTCAGGAGTTTACATTTAAAAGAGAGGGCAACTTTCAAAAATTCACAATTGAAGGTACCCACCATTTATTGGTCACCTGCCTCCTCTATGCCCAGGAGCTGGGCTGGGTCCCCATCCAACTCTGGGGATCTGTGTGTGATAATGTCCCGGTTCAGCGGATGAGGACGGCTCCGCACAGAGGGGAGAGGGCTCTGGCCAGCCAAGGGGATCCAGCAGGTTTGAGAGCTGGGTCTGATCCGGTGTCTGCTACCTCCTTGCTGCTTCCCACGGGTTTGAGTGGCCAATGGTGGAAATTCAGGCAGCAGTGAGAGGAAAAAGTAATTTTGTGTGTGGTGTCTTCCCAAATCATAGCAAATGAAACTTCCCCAGGTTAGACTTGCAGAAGGACTGTCTTGGGAACACTTTTGTGTTCTGCTTTCAGTACAGAGAGCACCTGCAGCCCTGGGGTCATACAGAGTGTGGGGCTGCACCCACAGGGGCTCCCCTCCCACAGCCCAGGAGTGGGGGCCCCAGGAAGGGGACCAGGCAGAAGGGAACAGTGATACTTTCCCAGGGTCTGAGGTCTGACCCTTGCCCACGGAATCACGCGATGTTATCAGCTCCCCAGCATTTTCCGTTGTATAAAGAGCTTCGGCTGGTGGGCCCAGGAGCCTCAAAGCATTCCTTCCCTCTTTGATTTGCTCCTTTGGGAAGGCATCAAAAAGTCAACAGGCCTAGAATCTGGTGTCTTGTCTGGGCTGGGTGGAGCCAAGGTCTTCTGAATAGACCAGAGAAAAGTTCACTTTTCTATCTCCCAGGGGAGAAGAGGGGACGTGGGGACCAGTTAGGAGGCAAGAGACGGAGAGAATGAGGATTTTCATGAATGATTTAGGAGATCAAGTTGACTGACTTCACTAATTGATTGTAGTGGAGGGAGGTATTGAGGATGATTGAAAAACTCCTAATATTTGCTGAGTACTTACCAAGTGCCAGGGAGGGACTGTTTTAAGTGCCTTATGTAAATTGTCTCCTTTAAGTCTCCTAACAATCCTATGGAATAGATAGTGTTATCATGCCCATTTACAGACGAGGAACTCAGGCACAGAGAGGTCGTGACCTGCTCAAAGTTGCACAGCCTTAAGCAGCAGATCTGGGGTTTGAACCCCAGCAATCTGGCCCCAGACCACAAAGATGTGTGGTTGCTCAAGGGTAGGAGGGGCTTAAGTGTTGGGAGAGGGAAGCTTGAGCCTCCAGGGGGAAGAGGAGCTCTTGACATCGCTCACCTTCAATTAAATTGCTGGCCACCTGCTGTGTGCCCAGCTGTGAAGGGTCAGGGCTGGAAAGATGGGCCTCTGGTGCCCCTCCAGCTTATAGTCTGTTTTTGGGAGACAGGGTAGCTGTGAAAGAAATAAACAATTTTTTTTGTGTGTGAGGAAGATCGGCCCTGAGCTAACATCTGTCAATCCTCCTCTTTTTTGCTGAGGAAGACTGGCCCTGGGCCAACATCAGTGCCCATCTTCCTCTACTTTATATGGGATGCCGCCACAGCATGGCTTGACAAGCGGTGCATTGGTGCGCGCCCGGAATCCGAACCCGCAAACCCCTGGCCACCGCAGCGGAGTGTGCGCACTTAACCGCTTGCGCCACCAGGCCGGCCCCGAAATAAACAATTTTAATCAGAGCAAGATGAGACTTGGAAATGATTTGGGAGGATGGGGTGGAGGCAGGGAGAGGGTGGGGCTGGAGTGACTAGTAAGGCCTTAAAGGATGGACATCATTCCTTCACATTTTTCAAGTTCTTTACTGAACATTTTCATGTATTTTATACTCTTTAATTCTCACTTCAACCCTGAAAGAATCAATGTCCTCATTTATGCACTTATATATTCATTATACTGGTCAGTACTCTTAGGGTTGTGGCACAGCTCATATTGACTTAAGCTAACAAGGGAATTTATTATCTCAAGTAACCGAAAAACAATCCATGAATTCTTGCTTCGGGCATGGCTGGATCCAGGGACTCCAATGATGTCATCAGGACTCTTTGTCCGCCTTTCAGCTCTGCTTGTGTTAGCTTCATTCTCAGGCATGCTGTCACCAAGCGGTGGCAAAGATAGTACTCAGTAGCTCCAAACCGGCATCCCTAGTGGAAAGAGAACATCCTTTTCCCAGTTGTTCCAGCCAAAATCCTAGGGCTGGTTCTCATAGACCCATGTTGGGTCACATGCTTATCCATGATCCAATCAATCACTGAGCCTAGGGAGAAGGATTATGTCAATTGGCCATGTCTGGGTCACATGTCCTCTCCCAAGAATGAGAAGGTGAGGTCAACCCTATACAAACCACTTGGACTGAGAATGGGGAGGGTTGGTTCCTCAAAAGAAAACTGAGATGGTGTTACCAGAAGATGGGGGTAAGGAGGCTGGGAGGGCAGAAATGACAGCTACTCTGTACTGAGCTGTGGGAGACCATGTGTTTCAGGGAACTTGAAGTTAAAGCATGCTGAGACATTAAATAGGAGGAGGAGGGAGGGAGTGAATGGGGATGTTTTGCAGGAACTCTTAGATTTTTAGCCACTAGGCTTGGGGGTCTCTATGATCCACTATGGAAAAAAACCTTTTGTGAACCACCTCAATAGGAGACGGGAACCACTAAAGGATTTCAGGTGGCAGGCCAGAAGTGCATTCCAGAAAAATCCTTTTGGTAGACAGTGAGCAGGGTGGACGGTCAGGGGGCTGGGCAGTGAGGTTCAGAGAAGAAGGTGGGGTTCGGATGGTCCAGAAAGGCATTACCCGGTGAGCCTGGGCCTGTCGGAGTGGGGGCAGAGAGATCCAAGGGGACTGCAGGAAATTCGGTCTGGCCCCAGCAGGCTCAGCTGGCATGATGTTATCTGGGTCTCCAGGGCTGGGTGAGCAACCCTAACCGCCCTCCCCCCGGCTCTTTTCAGCTACACTGATAAGCTAGAATTTCCCCTTTTCTCACCAAAGGGTGGAATGGCTTTTGTTTTGAGAAACACCGCCATCTAGTGGTACCTTTTTATTTTTTATAATTTTATTTATTTATTTTCCCCCGAAACCCCAGTAGATAGTTGTATGTCATAGCTGCACATCCTTCTAGTTGCTGTATGTGGGACGCGGCCTCAGCATGGCCGGAGAAGCAGTGCGTCCGTGCGCGCCCGGGATCTGAACCTGGGCCGCCAGCAGCGGAGTGCGCGCATAACGGCTAAGCCATGGGGCTGGCCCCTAGTGGTACCTTTTTGCAACACCAGCCTGTGGTCATATTTCCTTTGTTGTTGCTAAGGCAAGATTTGCTCCTACAGTATTCACGGGCTCGTTCCTTACAGGGTCCCTGTGTGCCACGCACTGTCCTCGGCGCTGGGATTCAGCAGGGAACAAGGATGCTGCCTCCATGGAGCTGCATTACAGCGGAGGAGGCTGACAAGGTGTGAATAATCACATGAATGTACCGAGGTCGTGACCCTAGGCATAGGTGAGGTGTGATGACAGTTCCCTGGGGGTGTCACGTGCGCATGCTGCCTGGTGACTTCACAGATGTGGGATGACATGGAAAGAATACATGTAGGGCTGGCATCTGCCTAGTTTTCTGCAAAATCTCTCACCTGCCTGGCCGGGCAGGCAGGGGTCGCATGGGACTTTGGTGCGTCCCCTTGGTCCAGCCGCCCAGCCAGTGCCCGAATCTGGTCTGCAGTCTCCCTGCCAGGTTGTCCAGCTGCTCTGCGAACACTTCCAATGACCAAAACTCATTTCTTCTAGAGCTTCTTCTACCGTGGATTATCCTCTCTCGCCTGGACAACTGCGGTAGCTGTCTTGTTGGTCTCACTGCGTCCCAGGGGTGGGGTCTCACCCCCACCCAGCAGCCAGGGAAGTCCTTTTACAACCTTAACTGTGTTCCTCTCACTCCTCTGCTCGGAACCCAGCAGTGGCTTTTCTTAATGCTTAGGATAAAATCCAGACTCCTTGCAGGAGTCCTCAAAGCCCTGTGTGCTGTCACATCCCCTCCCTCTCTGTCATCACCTCCTGCCACTTTCCTTCCTGCTTGTTATGCTGCAACCACACTGGCCTCCTCGCTGTCCCTCCAGCATCCAACCTTGACCCTGCCTCAGGGCCTTTGCACTGCCTGTTCCCTCTGCCTGGAACACTTTACCCCCAGATACGTACACAGCTCCCTCCTTCCCCTCCTCTGAGGGCCTTTGACCCCTCCATCTAAATAGTTTCTTATCATCCCACCCCTGACGATCTTATTTTGCTTTGTTTTTTCTCGGAGCATGAATCACTGGTTGAAATTACATCATATATTGTATTGTTTATTGTCTCTTTCCCCCACGGAGTGTCAGCTCTTCGAGAGCAGGGGCTTTGTCTGCTTTGCTCCTGTGTGTTCCTGGCACCCGGCCCAGTGCTTGGCACACAGTAGGCCCTAAATTGTTGAATGAACGCATCAAGACCCCTGTTGTCTTGAGCATTTAGGATCTGCTCAGTGCTTCGCATTCGTCGTTGCGCCAATCCTGGGAGATTGCAGTTTTTCTGACTCCAACGCCTTGGCTCGACTCAGATATTCCGCCCCCTTAAGCCTCACTTGCCTCCTCTGTGAGATGGATTTGACAATAGCGGGAATACATATAGGAGTCGGGGTCCTGGGGAGTGACAGATGGTATGCCCAGAGGGGTTGAATGGAAGAGAATTTGATGAGGGCTCTATTCACAAGGGTGGGGGCAGGGGTACAGGAGGAAACGGTGTTATTGGAGCCTGGTGAGAGTAGGGTCCATGGCTGAGGGTCCCCCCACCCAGGAGCGAGGCTGAGCTGCAGGGGGGCGAGGGAGCAGTAAACACCTGGGCTGCTCTCTCCTCCCTGCGGTGCTCCCCACTGGCTCCACTCACTGGCAGCCAGGGGGCCGGGGAGCCTCTGTGATGCACAGGCTTCCCGGAGGGCACAGGGCTAAGAGGGATCCAGGAAGACACAGCCTCCTAAGGGTGTTGTGAGGATGACATGCAGTTGTGTATGGACTTGCCTGGTCCAGCACCAGTGACATAACTGGTGTCATTATTAGGTGGGTGATGGAAGCAATCGATGATTGTGAGGCTGTCGTACCTTGTTTCCTGCCCCCCACCGCCCTTCCTTCCTCTGAGCATTTCAGCTCTGCTGAGAGTTGAGATCTAGGCAAGGAGTATGTGACTTCCAGAGGTGCTGGAAGCGATGCTGTTGTTTTCACAACACGATAACCTCATTCCCTCAGCTCAAGGATGCACACTTTTTTTCACATGTTCACCTTGCTGAACTAGGACATGTCTCATAGCTGGGAGTGCTTTTCACGAGGACAGACCAGTCTTGTTCCCATGGTGTCTCCTGGCTCACAGTAGACGCCTGGTAAATATCTGGAATGAGTGAATCAATTCTGACTGTAGTAGCCGCCTTGTGTGTGCACGAGCGTGTGTGTGTGTGTGTGTGTGTCACTGTCAAGGCTTGCTGGCATATCCGTAGACGTTCTCTCCCTGGAGAAGTCCACAGATTCCGTGTTTCAGCCAGACGGCCCTCCCTGTCTGGTTTGATCCAGTCCTGGTCTGGGACTGTGGGTGGATGAAGAGGCCACATCATTAGAAGAGACCTGCTCATCGGGCCCCTGACTGTGGCAAGCACGTGGAGCATCTCAAGGATGCGGACCCCCAGCACTTTCCTTCTTTTATTGTGATGGAATATTTCAGACGTGCTCCAATGGAGAGAGAATAATATACGAAACTCTCCTGAAAAGCTAAGAAACAAGCCTGACCAATGCTGTTGGAGCTTCTGTGTTCTCCCCCAGGCACCTGCCTTCCCTCTCTCCTCAGCGGTAACCTCTGTGTTGAGTTTGGCATTTTTAATTCCCATGCATTTATGTATATAAATATACACAATCGAGTCTCATGATTCACGGTAGTTATGTTCTGTAAAATTGCCACGAACACTGAATTGATGAATACTGAACCATTGCCTCCAGGGGAAATATGTACATAGATTATAATCTTAAATCCTAAAAACAACTCATTCTGGTAGAGTCCATTTTATTTATTTTACAAAAGAGAAAAACGAGGTCCAGAATTAAGTGACCAGCACTAACAGATGCCAGAGTTGGGATTCAGACCCCATCCAACTGGCCCCAGAGCCAGAGCTTCCTGCGTGACACCACACAGCTGCCTGCCGCTCCGTCCAAGAAGGCAGATCGCGGCCTTGTTTGACCTCAGCTGTGAGCGTGCCCTTTGGGTGACTCAAAATTTTTACTGTTCTGTGCGTGTCTGTGAATGACTGCAAAGAGCCTCAAGTATTGATTTTGGCGTTACAAATAAATTTTAGCAAATAGACGAATTCGCAAATACAGAATCCGCAAATAGTGAGGATTGACTCATAAATATATACTTAGTATGTGTATGTATATATGTTTAGGTATATATATAGTATCATATATATATGTATATATAATACCTGTATGAATTCTTAGACACAATATAGCACTGTTTTGCAGGTTTTAAAACTGTATATAAATAGTATTACACCAGAAATAGCTTCTGCAAGAGGCTTTTTTCCACCCCACGTTGTTGTTGGGGTAGCTGTGGTCCATTTCACTGCTGTAGAGGAATAGCTAGTGTTTGTTGAGAGCTTGCTCTGTGCCAGGAGCAAATGCTTTATATGTCACGTCTGGTTGAATCCTCAAGGCCACCCCATCAGGTGAATACTGTTCTTATTCCCATTTGACAGAGGAAGAAACTGAGGCACAGAGAGGTGAAATCAGTTGCCATTAGTGCTCAGAAGTGTTTGTTGAAGGGATGAGTGATGGAAACAACCTAAATGATCATCAGTAGGGTGATGGATAAATAAAACGTGGAATTCTAAGTTTAGATACGCGTATAAACAGTCATCATAGAGAAACTTTCAAGGAAGGCATGGACTCAAGTTTGCGAGTGTTCTAGCTCTCACTGTGGTGTTTTGGGGGGTTTGCCTTGTGGGGAAGGTGAAGACCTGGCTGCTAGCCAGCCAAACTCTGTAGAAGTTGCCCTTGGAGACGCCCCCTTCTCTTCCAGCGGTCTCCTGCATCGTGGCAGAGTGGAGTGGCTGGAGTCGCTGTGCCAAGCCCTGCCAGGTCTCTTACCGCGTCCACCAGAGGCATGTCCTGCAGGATCCGAGGAACGGGGGTGCTCCCTACCCCCCGCTGGAAGAGCGGGCTGGCTGCGTGGAGTACTGGAGCTGCCAGGGAGTGGAGTGCCAACAGTCCTTGCGTGAGTTGGGGTGGCCCGGGGGGGCCGCTGTCAGTGGGAACAGCCTGGCTGGACTGCAAGGCCCTCCACAAGTTCCTGGGTGGGGTCTGAGTTTGGGATGGGACTCTGCTTTCCTTTGCTCTGATCCCCTCTCCTCACCTTGTGAATGAGGTAAGAAGCTCTGACTTCCGCTAGGCATCTCCGTGTCTTCTTTCTGCTCATCTCCCAGTGTGAATCTGTCCCATCTGAATGCAGAGGATGGGAGCCCACCTTAAACTGACCAGAGCAAAAATATGTGGCTCATGTAACTAAAGTTCCAGGGGCTGCATTCAGGCATGGGTGGATCCAGGGGCTCAAGCAATGTTGACAGGAATCTCTCAGCTCTGTTTACCTCTGAGTTGGCCTCATTCTCAGGGAGGCTCATGCCCTGTAATGGTCTTTGATAGCTCCAGGCTTCCCTCCAACCAGCCTAGCAGCTGGAAGAAAAGCCCTCTTTCCCCGTAGTTTCAGCAAATGTGCTAGGGTGAAGTCTCATTGGCTTGACCTGGGTCATGTGTTTGCTGCTGAACCAATCAGTATGGAATGCTCTGATTGGCCGAGCCTGGGGCAGGTGCTCCCTTTGAATCTGGGGCGGGAGGGGCAGGGTGAACCCTGTCTGAATGAGAGTAGGGGAGGGGTGTTCTCCAAAGGAAAATTGGGGAGAATGGGTGCAGGGCGGGCAAAACAACAGAGGTCCACTGGATTGCACACCCCGACAAAGGGATTTTATATCACTACAAAAAATAGGTGATGCCCGTTTTACAGCTGAAGAAATACACCTACAGAATGAAATGGTTTTCCAGAAGGGATAGAAGAGCGGGCAGCAGGATTAAATTGTCCCCTTCCCATCTCTCCCCATGCCACAGCCCGGCGGGGTGGGTAGATCATTCTGCAACACAAATCTGACCACGGTGCCACCCTCCTGATTAATTTCTCCGGTAGCTGCCCAGAGCCCCCGGGTAACCCAAACTCCTCATCATGGTCTCTTAGCTCCCTGAGCCTGGCTCCTGCCTCCTGTGACCTCATCTCCTTCCTCCTTCTGCCTGTGTTTTAGAGGATCATTCTGACTGTGGGGATGGCTGATGAAAGGGGTCAGAGGGCAGCAGGGAGACCACGGAAGAGGTGACTGCAGCCGTGCAGGCGAGAGAGGATGGTGGCTAGACCAGGTGGCGGCAATGGGGTGATGAAGTAGCAATGCCTAAAATCCTTCTCTCTCTCCCCTGCCGCCTGCATCTAACCTTGTCTGGTTTGTCATTTCCTGCATAGATGTCAGTTTTCCCCAGGAAGATTTTCCTGACTGCCCTACTATGTGCCAAGCTCTTTGCCACATTACTGGACTCTGTGAGGCCGATGTTCCTATTCTCATTTTACGGAAGGGGAAACCAAGGTTCAGGAAAGCAAAAACTTGCCCAAGATACATGGCTCACTGTATACTTATTTAGCTCTGACCATAACTCTATGATATAGGTTCTAGTATTTTCCCCATTTTGGTGAGGAGGAGGCTGAGGCTCAGAGAGGTGCAGTAACTTGGCCAACCAAGATCACTCAGCTATAAGAGGGAGATCTGGGACTAGAACCTGGGCTTCTCTGGGACTCTCCTCACTGCTGTAGACTGCACCAAAAGAAGCCCTATGGGTGTTAGAAGAGAGGAGGGAAGGGGAATTGTGGATTAAGTGTATATGGCAAAGACCAAGCCTGGTCTCTACAGCAGCAGCAGGGAGAGGGGCCTGGGATGCCCTGGTGGGCCCTCCTCTCGGTCACAAGCATTAGGTCAATACCCAGCCTTTGACTCAGCCCCCTCGCTCAGGGAATGGGGATAGGTAGGGACTTCTTTTGGCTTTTAAATTTTCCTCTGGAATCACCGGCCTCTCGTGGTCTGATTCTCAATTCTCTTCCTTTGTCTGTTCTAGGAAGGAAGAGACTTGGAAGCTGGCCCAAGAAAATAATTTTATTAATTCATTTATCCATCCATCCCTCCGTGCCTCCTTTCTTCTATCCTTATGTCTTCCCACCATTCATTCATCCATCTGTCTGTCCACTTTTCCATTCATCTGTTTTTTATCTCTTCATCTATCCATCCGCCTGTCGTCTCTCCATCCATCCTTCCTTCCATTCGTCATCTCTTCTATCTATCATTTCTCTGTCTCTCCTTTTTTCCATCTTCCCATCTTCCGTTTATTTACCCATCGTCCATCCATTCTTTGTTTCTTTCTTCTGTAATTTTAGCCATCCATCCGTCCATCCATTCAGTTATTAACTTTCATCTGTTCTTTTTTACTCATTCACTCGTTCATTCATCAAAATCATTCATCTGAAAAATTTTTATTGAGACGTACTGTGCTAGGCCCTGAGTCTCAGGAGAGAACTCTGATCCTGCCTCCAGCACGCATAAAGGGTCCTAGTGGGGACCACTACCCAGTTACAAGACCCCACAGTCTCCTTAGGGCTGCTGTGTAGATGACCCGGACACCAGGAATACCTAACCCTGCTTCCTGGGGTGTCATTGCCTGAGGGGTGCTGGGCTACCTAACTCTGTTTTCTCCTTGGCCCACAGTCCCTGCTCTGATAACCACAGGCAGCTGCGGGAAAGAGCGGAAAAAGCGAGGTGTCCCCAAGGAGCAGGAGACGGTAGGGTAAGTTGAAGCAAGTGAACCCAAAGTCCAACTACAATTTGTGAACATTTTTCTTTAGATTAAACTTTCATCATGTCTCTCTCTCACTTTGATAGCTTTGGTATCTCCCCTTTTCTTGTCCTGTTACATTTGTGAGCTCATTAACATGGATTTTGAATTCTTTAATAATTGGTCTCCATTCAACTTCATTCATTCACTCAACATTTATGGAATGCCCATTATATGACAGGCACCATGCTAGGCCTTGGGGCTACAGCAAGGAATAAAAAGACAGAAATACTTGTCCTCATGGACTGGACAGTCTAGTTGGAGGAAACAGACAATAAACAAATAAATAGCATGTCAGAGGATGCCAAGTGCTATGGAGAAAAAAAAGCAGGGAAGAGGGTGGGGGTGCCAGGGACATCCTCACTGAGAAGGTGACATTTGAACTAAGATCTGGAGGAGGCTGTCTGAGGGAACAGCATGTCTGGAAGAGGGACCAGCAAGTGCAAAGGCTCTGAGGCAGGGCATGCCTGGTGTGTTCAAGGATTAGCAAGACCTTGTGTGGCTGGAGTGTAGGGAGAGTGAGAGAGTAAGAAATAAGGCTGGAAATATATTGAGAGGGGGATGTCAGACCTCACAGCGCCTATCGGCTGTGGTGGGAAGTGGGGCACTTTCTCTGCATGAGATGGGAGTCATGGGAGGGTTTTGAGCGGAGGAGTGTCATGATCTGACTTAGGTTTTCACAGGACCCCTTTGGATGTTGTTTGGAGAATGGATTGCAGAGAGGCAAGGACGGAATCAGGGGGACCAATGGGGAGGCTCCTGCAACAGTCTGGGCGAGAGGCGAAGGTGGTTTGGACCTGAGTGGGAGCCCTGCACCTTGTGAGGGTGAATTGCAGGGACTGCAGTCAGACCAGTGTGTTTTTCCTGGTGGGGATGAGGTCAACCTTCCAGCACAGTGAGTGGCACATGGCAGCTACTCAATAAATATCAGTTGAAAGAATTAGGTCTGAACTAAGGCAGTGGCAATGCAGATGGAGAGGAGAGCTACATTCGTGAGGATTCCTTTCATTGCAAGTGACAGCAACTCGGCTCAAACTGGCTCCAGTGAAAAGAATGATTGGTTTACGTCACTGAGAAGGAAGATCTGAAACAGAATTACTGCAAGCATGGCTGAAGCCAAGAGGTCACAGCATGTTGTTGCTTCTTGCTCTCATTCTCTGTCTCTCCCCGTATATTGGCGTCATTCTCAGGCAGCCTCTCTCGCTACAGCGGCCAAGACGACCACCAGCGGCCCCGCGTCCTCCCGGCTTAGCAGCTCCAGCGGAAGCAGCCCTTCCCCAGTCTCCGAGTGTCAGTTCTGGGAGAGCCCCTCATTGGTTCCGCTTGGAGCCCAGGCCCATCCCTGAACCAATCACTGCGGCGGGAGGATGGGAACCCTGATGGGTCGGCTTCGATTATCTGCCCGCTCTAGTGGCAGGTGTAGGCAGCCAGGACCAGGTGCCCTGATTGATTGCCTCTCCAGGACCACACAGGGTGAAGGCAAGGGTTCCCCAAATGAACCACCAAAAGGGGAAGAAAAAGCGCACAGGGAAGTTTTTCACAGGCCTCCGGTAAGGGACGGGTTCCTGAGGAGTTCTGAGGGCAGCTCAGAGAGAAGGGGCTGGGAACAGGTTTGGGGCTGTCCTAGAAGAAAACCATCTACTCCTTAGGCCTCCCAGCAGCTGCCGCCCCAGAGCCCAGCCCCACGCAGTCACCCTGAGTCCCTGACCAGCCGCGTCTCCTCCAGCAGGGGGCGCCCGTTCACTGCGACTTGTAGGAAATTTAGGTAGGAGTAAAATTTTGGCAAATTCGGTCTTACTAAAGATAGCCCAGAATGGGGGGCTTCCCTCTGAAGTAATTCTCGTGGCGAATCTTCTCCACAACACAGGATCTTTTATGAAATGCAGAGGAGTGCTTATTGAGGCTTTTGGGGTTTAAGTGGTTCATTTAGGCACCACCACTTATTAGCTGTGTGACTCTGGGCAAGTTCTCTCTCTGATCCTCAGTTTCCTAATCTGTAAACTGGGGCCACATCTACCTCGCAGCCTTTCCCTTGTCCACTGGACCAAATGATTCACTCAGCCAATTTTTATTGAGCCAGGTAGTATTCTAGTACCCAACGGTGAACAGAACAAAAAAATTCCTGTGTTTGTGGAGGCTGACCTTCTAGTGGGGAGACGCATGAGAAGTAACCTGTGTCGTCTTTAGGATATGGTGCTTAGGAGAGGGCCTGACACATGGGACTCCTTCATGAGATTAACTTTAAAAAGCAGCAGCCGAGGGGCCGGCCCTGTGGCCTAGTGGTTAAGTTCAGTGTGCTCTACTTCGGTGGTCTGGGTTTGGATCCCGGGCATGGACCTACACTACTTGTCAGTGACCATGCTGTGGCAGCGGCCCACTTACAAACTAGAGGAAGATTGGCCACAGATGTTAGCTCAGGGCCAATCTTCCTCAGCAAAAAAAAAAAAAAAAAAGCAAAGCAGGAGCAGAGTCTCTAGTTGTATGCAGCCTGTTGATGCAGATTGGGTTTCCCGAAAGGGTTCTATATCAGGGAGAAATAGTACCAACCTGGACGTACATAGGGCTAGGTGCACAGCGGGTGCTCCATAAATGCTCACAAGTGTGTGCAGTGGTGTCTCCCTGTGCGGCTGCAGGTACTGTGTCCAGTTCCGGCTGGGGCCCATTCCAGGGAGCTGCCAGCAGGTGAGGGCGTCCCATACCCAGTGGACAAGGTATCTGACCCAGGGCCACACGGTTTGTGTGAGGTGTGAGTGGCCTGCCCAGGACGCCAGGAGCTGGCGCTGCTACGGGGACGGCGGTGGGGCCGAAGGGTAAGCAGTGGGACTTGGGTGTGGGGAGGTGTGACTTAGAGCCTGGGGCTTTCCTGCTGCCTGAGAGAGGAAGGTGCTGCTGGAGCGAGAGGCTGCTCCCTGGTCAGGGCCGGGCCCTGGAAGGTCCTGGTCCCAGTGTCCGAGGAGGGGCAGCTCCTGCCACTCCCAGCTGTGTGACCAGGGGCAATCTCATAACCTCTCTGAACCCCAATTTCCTCATCTGAAAATGCAGATAATAAGAGAACCTCCTCATGGGGCAGTGGTGAAGGTTAAGCGAGATCATGCAAGTCGAGGACTTAGCATAGCTCCTGGCATCCAGAAAGGCTCAAGAGAAGGGAGCTGGTATTATCATTGAATCCTCACAATTCCCTTACAAGCCGAGTTTGGTTGCCCTCATTTTATAGACGGGGAAACTGAGGCTCAGAGAGGCAGTGTGACTTAGTCAAGTCACACAGCAGGATTTGGCCCAGATTTGGCTTACATCAGCCCCCTAGACTCAGAAAGCACTTAGCATACCAATTATAATAGTAGCTAACATTTATTGAGTGCTTACTATGTACCAGGCATTATTCTAAGTTCTTTGTATTCATTCATTCATTCATTCACTAAATATTTGTTGAGCACTTACTCTCAAGCATGTGCCAGGTGATGTTTTGGGTACTGGGGAGAGGCGGTGAACAAAGCAGATGTGGTCCCTGCCCTTATGGAGAGGACCTTCTGCTGTGAGGAGACCGACATTAGGCAAGTAAATCTGTAATTCATCAGACAGGAGGTAAGTGTCAGGGAAAGAAAGCAGACGAGGGGTAAGTTCTTGGGGTTATTGTTTTTCAAGGAAGGTGACACTAAGGAGGTGACATTTGATTAGAGATCTGAAGGAAATGAGGGAAGGAGCCATGTGGATGTCTGGGGGAAGGGCATTCCAGGCAGAGGGAACAGCAAGTGCAAAGGCCCTGAGGTGGGAGCGTGCTGCCATTGCGGCCAGAGTGGAGCAAGTGTGGAAGGAGGTGAGGACACATTAGCACACAGTATGCCATTGAAACATTCCAAGAACCCTAAGTGGGTACTTTTAGGATCCTTGCTTTCCAGATGAGGAGACTAAGACACAAAGCGTTGCCCAAGGTCACACATCTAGCAAGTGGCAGAAACAGAATTTGAACCTAAGCCGCTCAGACCCCTGAGCCAAGCTCTGAAGACTAGTCTAGACTGTTTCCCACCGACGGTGCTTTCCCGTTGCAGGGATTATACTGTTGGAATGAGAGCTCTCTCTGGGGTCTCTCCAGGGAGTTCTTCTCACATCTCCAAAGGTGTTAATTTCCTTCCTTTTAAAATTGAGCAGGCCCGCTCACTGCAAACCTAGAGCCGATGCCAGGTGGGTGTTAGGACAGATGTATCTGAGCAAGAGGCATCGGAACTGCCAAGATCCAGGTTCAAACCCCACCCCTGGGCCTTACTAGCTGTGTGACTCTGGGCACGCCCTCCACCTGACCCTGATAGTCCCCACCAATGGGATTGTGGGGAAGGATTCCGAGCTCTTTGTGTAGCACCTGGCTCTCGTAGATGCTCAGTAGTGAAAGCTGCTATTGTCATGTCTAACCTATAAAATGGGTATGATAATACATACTTTGTGAAAATGAGACATAATGGATGTGATGAACCTGGCATGTAGTAGGTGCCCGAGAAATAAATGGCAGACAATATTATCACACTCTAGGGAGGCCCTGACTGTCCACCCCCAACCTCTCTCCCACTTACCTGTCCTAGACCTGAGATTCTACCATTAGAGATTCATTCTTTGGTCTAGACGCTCACTTCTTAGAGCCTCAGTGTATACATCCATCTTTGGATAAGCCTTTCCAGCCCTAAGACTCTGATTAATCCCACATTTCTCTTTTTGGATGCAAATACTCCGGGATGAAGAACGTGGCACTTTGGTGAGGCTGAGATGAGAGTCGCAGGAACCCCTGCCTCCACCGGGTTTGGGCAGGAACGGAAAGTAGAGCAGGGCTATGCCAGAGAGAGGCATCGCCCTGCTCCCACCCTACCCGGGCCAGCTCACAGGACAGGTGATGGAAGGTCTGATCGGGGCATGAGCTTACCAGGCAGCACCGGGCAGACGAGGAGGATCAAAGCGAGGATGGCGACGAGCTGTCAGCTGGATTCTTTCCGTGGGCAGCTGGCGAGGGCGGGCCTACAAAGGGCCCGGACCTGGGGAGGGATTAGCGTGTCGTATGTGTCAGTTGGGGATTTTAGGAGCGTTTGTTTAGCTTGAGAAGTGTCTCTGAGTTTGGGACAAGCAGAAAGAACACCTGCCATAGTCACGCACCTACTGTGTGCTGGGCGCCAAGTAGGGGCTTTACATGTGAGTTCTCATTCAGGCCTCACAAGCTTAGAACAGGGCCTGGCACGTGATAGGCACTCACTCAGTGTTGTTACTGTTATTATTTTGCATTTTTTAAAGATTCGAGTTATACCTACAGAGAATTGGCTAAAACATATATGAGCAGGTTAACAAACGTTTGGAAAGGAGACACACCTGGATAGTCACACCCAGAGAAGGAGCAGAACCTGACCAGCCCCTCTGTCCTCCCCACAGGCCCCCCTACCACAGCCCCCCCATAAAGGAAACCACCGTCCTGACTTCCACGGTGACCCAGTGTCCAGTTTCCCTACAGCTTTGCTCACCTCCGTGTAGGTCCCTGGGCGCTATAGCTTACTTTTGCTTTTTTTCAAATGTTGCATAAATGAAATCGTGCAAGATGTGCACTTTGGAATCCGACTTCTTTTGCTCCTCGTGAAGTTTGCAAGGTCCCTCCATGTGGCTGCCTTAGATCGTGCGTTCTTGTTGCTGAAACGGTTAGCCATTAGTATCGTGATCATTTCTATTTTCTCTGCACACTGCGTCTCATAGAACCCTCCTGACACTTTAGAGAGGCGGAGATTATGGATATTTCTGCTTTCTATTGAGGAGATAGTGGCTGCTAGGAGCTGGGTGGTGAACTGATGTCAGACCCTGTGCTCTTAACCATTGTACTGTGTTGCTTCAACCGAGGAGGAAAAGGGGCACAGGGAGGTTAAGCAACTAGCCCGGTTTGCCCAGCAAGGATGTAAGAGCGCGGCCCCTAATTGTTGAGTCTGGATGGCCGCGTGTGACCCCTGGGGTCGGCGCGCTGCGGGCAGCTGGGGGCAACTTCTCCGTCAGGCACCTCTCCATCTCCGCCAGGAGACACAGGGCCCAGTGCCCACACACTTTTAGGGCCCATGAAAATTTTTAAATTTTGATTTCTTTTAAAATCAGAAGAAAAAAAGATATAATGATGAAGATTGAATAATGAATCCAGCCTGGATTATATTTGTCCTTATACAATGCGGTCGTAAACTATGAATTAAAGTATTTTTGGCGCGGGGGAAGGGGCCCACCAAGGCTGCCGTCCCTGGAGCCCAGGAGAGCCCCGGTGGGACTGGGCTGGCCCCTTCTTTCGCAGGAGCCAGCTCGGGCCCTGGGCGAGGCTGGGGCCGCTCCGGGGCTGCTCCTGCCCCGAGGTCCACAGCCTCGTCTTCATCTAGCGGCCGCGGGCCCTGACTGTGCAGAACCCCGCTCTCCAGAGCCTCCCTGGCTGGCGGAGAGAAGCCGAGGGCTCGGGATCCCGCAGGACGAGGGCGTGGGGAGAAGTCTGCAAATGTGAGACGGAAGGAACAAGCGTCGTCCTTACGTTGACACTGAAAATAGCTTTGCATTTCCGCTGGGTGCCAGCTGAGTCACAGCCTCACTGACAATCCCTCTAGTTCAGGGCTCCCCACATGTCATCTCCTGAACCTTCTTGTCGCTTTTGCTCTGTTCTCCTTATCTGTGCACTTCCTTTCTTTTGACTCTCCACTCCCTCCCTTTTTTCACTTAAATAAATCTATTTTAAAAGGAAGCTTATACTTAAATATTTGTGTTTAAAGAGGAAACGTTTTATAACAACTAGAAATCAAAATAAATAATAGTAAATATTTATTAACTACCTACAGTGTGCCAAGTACTATCCCAGCCCTTTAGACATATTGACTGATTGGGTCCCGAGTTAAGTGCGGTTATTATTCCCATCTTACATGTGAGGACGTTGAGGCGCAGAGAAGTTAAGCCACTTGCCTGAGGTCACACAGCTAGTGAGGGCAGAGCTACATCTACTGCTAAGATTCCCTGCACTAGTACATGAGCTCCATGAGGGCAGAGTTTTGGTCTGCCTTGTTCCCTGCCGTGTCCCCTATGCCTAGAACATGCAGTAATGCTCAATAAATATTTGTTGAATGAATAAATGAATGACTAGATGAACGATCAGCTGCCGTGATTAGAAGGCAATCAGAAAAATGAATACAATGGAAACCAAGCGAGTCTGGCTAAGGAGCTGAGCACGAAGCCTGCTCTCTCCTTGTTCAGACAAGAAATTAGCACACGTTGGAGAGAGAATACGGACATGCTCGTGTCTAATGGAGACTTGCTCTTTGATAAATTAGAAGAATGACAAGAGATTTGAAAGGGGGTGAATTTTTTTCTCCTGGGAGTCAATTGTTATTAATATATTTTTTAACACCTTTATTGAGATAAAATTCACACACCATACCATTCACTCATTTAAAGTATACCCTTCTGTCCTTTTTGGTATGTTCACAGGATTTTATAACCACACCAAGGTCTAATTTTAAAACATTTTTTGTCCCCCCTAAAAGAAATGTGATACCCATTAGCAGTTACTCCCTACTCGTCAGGACCCCTCCAACCCTAAGCAACCATGAATCTACTTTCTGTTTCTATGGGTTTTCCATTCTGCACATTTCATATAAATGGAATCTTAACAAATGATCTTTTGTATCTGGCTTCTTTCACTTAGCATAATGTTTTCAAGATTCATCCATCTTGTAGCAAGTGTCAGTACTGGAATCAATCATTTAATGCCACATCCTGGGTTTGTGTAAAACCATCTCACATGTGGCCTCACTTCGGGAAGCACCGCTGTGA